GATGCGAGAGGAGAGGGAGGTCTGCGGCGGCGGCGGCCGCCGCCGCCGCGGGCCTCGCGCCGCGCTCGGTCCGGCGCAGCGAGCGGGAGAGCTGGGTGGAGGTTGCGCGGAGGAGCGCCTCGGCGACGTCCTTGGCCTCGTGCCGCTCCTTGGCCGAGAGCAGGGGCGAGCCGTCGCCCAGCGGCTCCATCCTCCGGACCCACTCCCACAGCAGCGCCGCCGCGTGCTGCGTCGACCCGTCGCCGTCTCCCAAAAAGTGCCACACCCGCGAAAGCACGCCGACCGCCCGCGGCGCTCCGAGGGGCATGTCGCCGCCGCCGGCTCCTCCTCCCCCGCCGCCGCCGCCGCTCCCAGGCGAGATGAGTTGCGTGGGCGAGACGGGGGCGGGCGGGGCGTCGGCGGCGGTGCCCCGCTCGACGGCGGCGGCGAGTGTGGGCGCGCACGCGGCGAGGACCGAGAAGGCGGGCGACGCGCAGCCCTCGAGCAGCGCGACCATCCACAGCGGCTCCGCCGCCGCGCCTGCCGCCCACCCGGCGGCACCGCCGCCTCCCCCCCCGGCGGCGGCGGAGGCGGTCGCGGCCGCCGCGGCGGCGGTGGCGGCGGCGGCCGCGGCGCGGGCCTGGGCTCGCGCTGCACGGCCGGCGGAGGGGGCCCCGGTCAGCGTCAGGTAGGTGTCGTCGTCGGCACCCATCCACGCCACCGGCGGCGAGGAGAGGGCGGAGAGGGGCGCGGCGCCGGCGCCGAGCGCGAAGGGCGGCGCCGAGGCGCGCGCCACCGCGTACGAGGCGAGGGGGTGGTGGTGCCTGGCGAGGCCCGACAGCGCGGCGGCCTCCGCGCTCGCTGGAGGCGTCCCCGCCGCCGCCGCCTCGCCGCCTCCCTCGCCCGCGGGCTCGAGGGGCTCGCAGTGCTGCCCGCGCTGCGGCCACGGCCGCGGCGCGGTCGGCGCGCCGACGCGGAGGAGGTGGAGCAGGACGCGGCAGCTGAGCTGCAGGCTGAGCAGCGTCGTGGCGCTGCCCCCGTCTCCCACCTCCCTCGCCGCCGCCTCGACGCCGTTCGCCGCTCTGGCGTCGAGCCGCCTCTGCCTCCGCCTCCCCCTCTGCCTTCCCCGGCAGCGGCGGCGAGGCCGGCCTCCGAGGACGCGAGGGACCCGAGCCGCACGACCCCGAGCAGCAGCCGCGAGAAGGGAGGCAGCAGGCGCGACAGCGCGGCGTCGAGGGCGGCGGCGGTCGCCGCCGCCGCCGCAAACGCGGAGGGCGAGTCGCGCTCCGCGCGGGAGGCGCCCGACAGCGGCGGCGGGGTGGGAGACAGCAGCGGGGAAGCCGCCCGAGGCGCGTCGCTCCCCTGCGCCGCGGCCGCCGGCGGCGCGGCGAAGAGCGGCGGCGCGACGGGGCGGTGGCGAGGGGAGTGCGACGAGCGGATGCGGCCGGCCAGCGGCCTACGTGCTGAGTCCGCCAGCCTCAGCGCGTGGAGTGCGGTCTCAGAGTCATCAGAGCACCGCGTGAGCACAGGGGCTACGAGTACAGCGAGTACAGCGGAGTACGGTCGACTACAAGGGAGGGCGTGCCCTCTCGATCGCTAGCTGGACCAGATGAACGCGTGTTTTCGCTTCTAAGGCCAGCGGCTAGTTGGAATACGGGACCACGTCTTCCGCTTCTAGGATCTGCAGC